GGATTTCACACAGAAGTAACTTTAAAAAACTATTTATACCCACAAAGTTACTCTATAAAGCAAAAAAAAAAAAATAATAATTCCCTTGGCGGATGTGATTTTATGTTCAGAAAAATAAGAGTGTCTGAATCTTTCAGTTCAGACGATTTATCATCCGTCTTCTTCTGATCCCACAGGAGAAATAACACAAACCAGCCATGAAAAACGACAAACACACCAACACTCCCACTCATTGCTCTGTCTCTGCGCTCATTTCATTAACAGGTTCTTGTCGGGTCATGCGTCTGTTTGCAGGCGAACACTTTTGATTCAGTCACAGCTGCACAATACTTACCTTCTCTAGGTCAATCTGCATCACTTTTATAGTGCTCGTACACTGTTATTATTATTATTATTTATTATTTACCTCTGAATGCGTCTAGTTACAGGTGGGTGTTGCTTTCTTTCCCTGCTTGCTCTGCAGGGCTCAGCTGATTCCTACACAAGCCGACCGTCTGACTCAGACGTGTCCCTGGAGGAGGAGAAGGAGGGCGGCCGGCAGGAGAGGGAGCAGCAGGCCACCGTTCAGCTCGAGAGGGCAAAGGTTAGTTTCAACGGGGATTTTTCACAAGGCAATCAAGTTTTATATGAAACTCCTGCAGGCCGGGGCAGCAGGTCTGGTAGATCCTTACAAATGTTCAGACTTTTACAGTTTTAGAAGAAGAGATGGAGAACGTGTCCCCTCTATGCCTTTAGTTTGTATGAAATTCAAATTTAAAATGTTTTGGATGAATTCAGTGACTTCAGGATTCAGTCCTGTTTTAATTAAATGATTTTAAAAAGTCATTGTGTTCCTGCAAAATCAGTTTCAGTCACACTAACCCAAAGAAGTCTAAACAACAGCAGTTATTACAATCTATGATTTATTTCTGTGTTAAACGAGCTTTCTGGCCTTGGAATGAGAGCCAAATTTGACGATAATTAACTTTTATTTCCTTTTACAGAGTAAAGCAGTGGCATTTGCCGTGAGGACCAATGTGAGCTACTGCGGAGCGCTGGAGGAGGACGTTCCTGTCACCGGCACCGCCGTCACGTTTGACGCCAAGGACTTCCTCCACATTAAAGAGGTTCACGATACGCGCAGTTTATCGCTTCACCTGCGGACCGCCGAACTTGTTCCAAACTGTAACGTTTTCAACCAAACAGTACTTTTATAATTGTTTGGTTATGAGTTTTGTGCAAGGCTTTTATTAAAGCTGCTATGTTCACAAAATAAGGATATGGATATTTGAACACCTGCGTTTTTTCCTCCTTGCACAAAAACACTGTAGTACGCCCAACTATAAAAAATATGGGACTGAAATCCAAATTTCACTGTCTTGCAGGAGTGTTCATATCCAGTGAACTACATTTTATCTGGATGTCATGTAATATGCTAACAAAAAAAATTCACAATTGTCAAATGTGAGGAGAATAATAGAAACAAACAGCATTAGGAGGACATAGAAACGCACAGAAAGCTCATGGATAAAGCTGTGGAGGTGTTTAAAACAGCGTCAGATCATAAAACAACAACAAAAGGCTTTAAAAACTGACAAAGCTAGAAAGTTACAATCACCTAGAGGCAATTTGACAATGATGCAGCTATCAGCTAGACCCAAATGGACCCAAATATTGTATTTTCATTTAAAAAAATTAAGTTTTGTTCAATTTTCCTCTCTTTTTTTAATGTAAATAAAGGTGTATATACCTCTTTCTCTTTCTCTGAATGAAAACTGAAACATAATCTTGAAAGTTTTGTGTTTTTTCCAGCTTATTTTCCCCCTTTTGTTGCGCAGAAGTACAACAACGACTGGTGGATCGGCCGCCTGGTGAAAGAAGGCTGTGACATCGGCTTCATTCCCAGCCCGCTGAAGCTGGAAAACATCCGGCTGCAGCAGGAGCAGAAGCGAGGACGCTTCCACAGGTGAGCATCGGACGGGTGGAGACGTCAGGAGTGGCAGCAGATGACCTAAAGGTCGACAGGTAGCAATTACTGCAGCAGATGATTGAGCATTTCAGCAAAAAAGAACCAATTTTGGCACAGATGTTTCCTAGAGCTTGCTGTTTTGAAAAAAATAATTATTAGCTACTCCAAATTTCAAGATGTCTGCCATGTTCATTAAAGAAAGTTTATTTTGCCACTATTTATCACAGATGAATACACCTGGTGTCAAACTGGACCCATAAAAATTATATTTACTGATAATCATTTGACTTTTCAAGACGGTTATTATATTAAAATTAACTTTTGCACTAAATCACCAATTAGACGAATGTATTTGTTTTTAGCCTACATGTTTTGAATGATAGAAGTCATATTTTCTGGTTTACATTTTTCAAAATGGCCACCATGGTTGCAATAAACTAAAATCACCGATAGCTAGTTATTGCTAACCGAAAAGTTAGGTTCACTAAACTAAAATCTTAGCTCAGCTGACACTAAACTGCTAAGCACGTAATAAAAAATGTTAGCTGAAGCTAATGCTAACCATTAGGACAACCAAGACATGAAAATGGGAAATAGGTGACATTAATAATCGGTTTCAAAGGCTCAAAAACGGCAGCCATCTTGAAGAATATGGCCGTCATCCTTAAATTCAAGTGGCTAACTTGGAAATATGGAAAACATACGACCATTTTTCTGCTTGCGTCCCACACTTGAATGATTTTCACAGTAATATGCTGCGCTACCAGCGGTACGGAGAGTCTGAAGGAACGGCAGGGTGTTGTGGGTTTGTGTTTAGGAGAGAAACACTTCGGGGACAAGCAGCCCAGGCTGGCAGTGAAACAAACACATAAGCAAGAAGTCGGCTGGACGGCCGCCAGGCTGCGCCGTGTGGTCCAGCCTCGCCGAGGTGTTTCTGGACTGCAGCCATCGCAAAATTTTCCATCAGATGGGACTGTTGGGTTTTCACCAACAAGATGATTAGTGATGCTGAGACGACGCTGCCAGATTAAAGACCTGGCAGCTCAGACCGTTTTGCTTTTGTGAGTCTTTTGTTGCAAAAAATAGAGTTAGGTTCGCTTAATGAACTCCCCCGGTGTTCAGCCGTGAACAGCCAGGACTGTTGACTCATGCGGTGATTAATCTAATCTTTATTTTTATTTAGTTATGTATATTATTTATTTACCAGTCTTTACAATGACGTTTCACATTGATTGAACACTTTCATTTTGCCTGTTTTTTTTTTATTTATTTCAATTTCCATGTAGAATTAAACGTGGGTACATTAAGTTGAGATTTCTTTGTATGATTTAAATGCGCCCTAATTGCATTGTTTGTTTGTTTTTTTAACAGATGCAACACAGAACTTCAGATTTATCAGATTCTTTGCTCTTTCCTCTTTACTTTAATCACTGCAGCAGCAAATCCAGTGCAAATTCCTCCTCCAGTCTGGGAGAAATGGTGTCAGGGACGTTCAAACCAAACCCAAACTCAGCAGGTGACTCCCATACGTACTCTATTGATTTTGAGGGGGAAAAAAAGATCATTATCTTTTCAAAACTGAATTTTATTGCCTCTGTATTGCTTTGATTGTGTTCCTTTTTTTCTTATGACTACAATGAAGAAATTTTTGCAGTGCACTTCATTGCATTTTCTTTTGCCACTTTTAATTTCAGGAAAGCAAAAACAAAAAGTGGTAAGTGTGATTGATTTCCTAAACATTTCTGTTATATAAACAAAATAATAATTATGTAGTTCCACCTAACAGCCTTCAATGTGTTTGTTACCTTCTTAATCATAACTTTATGCTTAATAACTGGAAGGTCAGGTTGCCAGACCAAATAGCCGTGAACACACACACTCTTATTTAAGGGCAGCACATATGTTGCATGTTTTTGGACTATAGGAGAAAACCAAGGTCTAGAGAAAACACACACACGCACAGAGGAAACATGAAAACTCCCCTCTGAAATTGTGTGCTTTTTTCCCAAGAATATGTTATAAGTGAACTTGTGTTCTAGTTGGATTTTAAGCAATATACAAACACATAGTTGTGCATATCTGTAAATAAGGTGGTGGTAGGGGGAATAATACACTGTTTTAACATTTTTGCACAAATTCTAAAAGAAAAATGCACATTGAAAATCTATCCGGAGTGAATAATTCGCCGATCGCTGCGGTTGTATTATGGCTCTATATTCTAGGTTTTCAGATCTGGAGACTGACGACTTTGCAAATTCTTTTTCACAAAGTAGCTCCAATTCAGTCAGACTGGATGGATAACTCCTACATATTTATAATAATTTTTAATCTCGTTATTTAATATTTAGTTTTAAATTGAACTTTGAGCTTTGGAGGTTGACTGAGCCATGAATATATCTAAGGAAAATGTTTTTGAGTTGACCGACTTTTACAAGGCTTTATGCTGAAACTAAATCAACGTCAACATTCCTCCCAATTGTTTGGTTTCAGTGGAGCGATACATAAAACAGCCACTTGCTGCTAAACATATTGGAGAGTGAGTTGGAAAGCTTGAGTGACACTCATGCGATGTGACTGTAGCTGTGTGTGCTGTCACCTCTCCAGGCTGAACACGTCCCGCCGTACGACGTGGTTCCGTCCATGAGGCCGGTGGTCCTGGTAGGTCCGTCCCTGAAAGGCTACGAGGCAAGTCTCAACCTCTTTCTTTTCTTTTTTATTGGTAATTCTCACATCATAAACTGGAGTACTTTTATTTCTCAACCAGTTTTCCTCTCTAACAGTGTAACTCTACGCCGCTGCGTGCAGTGATGACTTTTTGTTCGTCGGCTCTCACAAACACGACATTAAAAATCAAATCTCCTCACTTATCAGTCGGAAATGCAAACCCGGAAAGGTGACGGGGGGGCGCTGAAGTCAGTTGTCATGGAATCACGCTCCTCGCCTCCCGTCCTGGCGTTGCCTTGGCAACAACCTTCTGGGTAAACCGCATCAGTCTGAAAAAGTGGAGCATAGATCGAAATTAGAAACACAGAATAATGTGAACCGCGCTTTGAAATGAAGTGTGTGGGACGGCGAAAAAGAAACAAAAAACATAAAAAAATCCTAAATCCTTTTCACGCCGGGCGTCTGTTGCTGTTGGTTTTGTTTCCCTGAAGCAAAGGTAGAGCAGACAAAACGTGGATTTGTTGCTGTAGCTGTTATTTTTGCTGGTTGAGTAGGTGACGGTGAAAAGGAGATTTGTGTGGTGCGTCAGCCTCCTGTTAAAATGATACAGTTGACCTTCTGTGGCTGTAAACTCTTCTCTGAGGACATAAAAGCTGCAGGATCACAAGCAATCTAATAAAAGTACAGATGTGCAGCTACACTGTCAGTCAGCGCACATGCAAGTGCTCCATGCTCCATCACAAACAACATCAAGACACAATGAAATCGAGCTTATTTGACTTATTCAAATTAAAGATTTGGCAAAGGCAGAAACAGTGTTGTCTGCTTTGATTCACATATCACACACACACACACACACACACACACCAGAAAGCTTATTTTTTATGTTTAGGGGTAATTCTCTGGTACAAAAACATATATCTTTATTTCACTATTTATCTGAGTTGCCCTTTAGTTTTTCTTTCTCTATATCACACAGTTTCTTTTACGACAAACATTTCAAGAAAGTAAGGAAATGTGTGTATGGTCACTTAATCAACCAAACAAAATGTTCTTACTTTTTCTTGAAAACTGTGTTTTATGTGAAAGTGTGAACATAGCTAGCTAGCTCTCACTAGCTACGTAGCAGCTAATACGGTAATCGTAAGTGAATAAACTGAGGATCTAGTGTGAACTAAAGTCATTAACACAACCTACTAGCAGCACTGTTTTATCCTCTTATTGGTGGTTAGTTCTGATTAGGCTGCATGGTTCAAAATGGCGGACTCTGAAGAGACCGAACTGCTCTCTACTCTAACCCGACAAACTGGGTCGTAATGTTCAACCAGTTGTTTCAATCCATTCTACAAAACCTCAGTCTCAATAGAATAACCAAGCTGTTTTAATGTAAATGAAAATATGTTTAATACTCAACGAACTCGTCTCATTCTTAATTACATTACTTAGCTGTCTACCACTATCTTTTAAACTCTAAATGAAGCGTTAGCATTTGGAAGAACCTGCCACCAGTAGAGCTTCTCTGTGGTTCTTTTTCCTCCATTTGATTGTCGATTATTTAACCTTGAGTTTGAGGTTTTAATCCAAACCACGCCGTCAAACGGCACTTATATCCGTCAGCAAAGGTTAAATTAAAAGTTGCAGTGTTACTGCTTAAGTTACTCACCTGTATGGTGGCCTTGCTGCAGCTCATAATCACTTTCTTCAAAACGCTTTCCATATCGGAGGCTCCGGCTCAGTGGAGTGTGTAATGCAAAGATCTGGTTCACTGGGAAGTGCGCTGCAAGGAGTAATAGGATCCTTCTGTCCATTTTCTGCTGCATTTTAACATAGTACATGTGTGGTAGCATGAGTATTTTGAGCTTTTATAGACATTATTGTGTAACGATTTCTTGCTCTATGAGAAGGCATTGAAATGTTTCGTCTGCTGCATTGCAATCAGACAAACATGACCAGAGTAAATACAGAAAGCAAATTATGTTTTGTTTTTTGGGGGGGCGTAAAAGGGTATCCAAAACAACCAGACCCTTTTTAAGAGTTAGCTTATAACACTCCATTAATGTTTTACATCATTGTGAGGGAATTTTTGGCTCACTTTAGTTTTAATTCAGCCACATTGGAGGCATTTTTAAGCATGAACGGACTTTTTGGGTGAAGTCACATCATCCTCGTTTGATATACATGCTAGGCTAGTCAAAAATATTTGTGTGCATCCATTTAGAGAGGGACTTCCATGTATGCTTTGGATTAACAAGTGATCTGAATCTGGCATTCTCTTTCCCAGTTGTCTGGTAGAGAGTAAAGTTCATGACTACATCAAGTCATCCTAGTACTGAAGAAACATAGCAACCTTGGACGTTTTACTACCACCAGTGGGACTTTCAAAATGTTTCTCTTTCGATTCATCGATTGGGATAATATTTTACTTCAAATCTTTATTTCATTACCCACTGGGTATCATTCATAGGTTGCTCTTTGACGACGTCAGATAACTTTGCGTACTTAGAGGGTTAATAAAATCCTCATTTGAAAACTTATCTCTGACGTGAAAGCTTGTTCAACAATCTAAAATTTTTGCATGACAAAAAATGTCAGGACAGAAGAAACCTGTAAGGTCTGGCAGTATTGAACACCACGGCCGTTTTCTCTTTCAGTCTTTTCACTACTTCCTCTTCCGTCTCTCTGACTCGTGGCTGTAGGTGACGGATATGATGCAGAAAGCGCTGTTTGACTTCCTGAAGCACAGGTTCGATGGAAGGTGAGCGGCCAGCGTTAACAAACTGTCCCTCGTTAGGCCGCCGCCAGGCTGCCAGTGCTCACTCATGTTTATGCCTCGTTGCAGGATATCCATCACTAGGGTCACCGCTGATATATCGTTGGCCAAGAGGTCAGTACTTAACAACCCCAGTAAACGGGCCATCATTGAGAGGTCCAACACCCGCTCCAGCCTCGGTAAAGCTACAGGAACTGTCTCACTCAATGATGTGCATGTCTCGTGTGCGTTTGAGCAGATTAAAGTCTCGCGTTCAGTCTCATGCAGCTGCTTGTTCACAGTCGCCCTGCTGTGTGTCTTTGTTTTCTTGCAGCTGAGGTCCAGAGTGAAATAGAAAGGATCTTTGAGTTGGCCAGATCGCTACAGCTGGTGGTGTTGGATGCAGACACCATTAATCACCCAGCACAGCTTATCAAGACCTCGTTAGCTCCCATTATTGTCCATGTTAAGGTGTCATCTCCTAAGGTAAGGCTGAAAGCAAAATATGTAAAAGTACACTGCCTTGGAGTTAAGACCTCTTCAACTTTTTTATATTTAAGTTAAAACCGGCAGATATTATTTGGTGTTTTACGCGACAAACCGACACAGAGTAAAACAAAACACAAACTACGACCTAACAGTTCTCAGATTTATTTATTTAATTTTTTAAAATCTCCACAGCCTGATGCTGCCACCACCATGCTTCGTTATGGGGATAGTGTTCAGAGTAATTTGTAGCCAATCGGATACATAGAGTTTTATTTAGGGGTAACAAGATAAAGGCAACTAAATTCAAATGCATGCCACACTTTTGAAATGTTTTGTAGTTTTGTGTGTACGTGGCTAGCTAGCTTTTGCTATCCACATAGCAGCTGATATGCTAACACATAGCAGCTGATATGCTAACACATAGCAGCTGATATGCTAATCTTACGTGAATAACCTGGGTTTCTAGTGTGAACTAAAGTCATCAACACAACCTACTGACACTAACATTACTATACAATTTTACCATCTTATTTCATCATGTGGTAGAGGTTTGCTTAGTTCTGATTAGTGGTGGACATTTTGAAAATGCTGTTTCCAATTCAAGCGTATGTGTTACTCTGCGTTAGCTTAACACATAAAATCCTTGATCAAACTGATCAAAGTTTTTGGTTGGAATGTGACAAAACGTGGAAAAGTTCAAAAAGTGTTAATACTTTTGAAAGGCATAAAAATTACTAAGAAAAAAAAACAGTATTCTAATGACAAGCATGAATTTTTTATAGCTGTAAGTACTCCATATTTGGAGACATTTAACTGAGTTCTCTGCCTTTAAATGTGTTGACAGGTCTTGCAGCGTCTGATCAAATCACGAGGGAAGTCCCAAAGCAAACACTTGAACGTGCAGCTTGTTGCAGCAGAAAAACTAGCCCAGTGTCCATCTGTGAGTAAACTTTAAGCACTCTCCAATGCTGTTATTAGTTTTATCTCTGCAGCCACGAGTGACGAAATTTGCAAACTCCAGTAACTTTTCTCGGCTCTCCTTCCCCCTTTTTTCCCCTCCCCAATCCCAGGAGATGTTTGACATCATTTTGGATGAGAACCAGCTTGAAGATGCCTGCGAACACCTGTCTGAATACCTGGAGGCGTACTGGCGCGCTACTCACACTTCACTTAGCACGCCGCTCAACCCCCTGCTGGGACGCAATCTGGGCTCCACTGCTCTCTCCCCGTATCCGGCTGCCATCCAGGTGAACACAGAGTTGGGTTCTGTTTGCTTGTTTTCGTTCGTTTATTTTCAATTCATTTTCACCTTTCTTTACATGTAATTGAATATTGAACTGTTCTTCATAGTTTTGTAGTTATCTTCTTTTTTTTTTGCCATTTTGACCCGTCAAAATATCAAACCATTCATATCAAGCTTAACCATAAAACTCAGATCAAACACTTTATTATTCACCCGTGTCTTTTAAAGCTTTGAAAAATGTTTTCATATACCTTAATTTTTTTCAAGTCTTGCCACAAACATAAACTTCAGTGTTTTTTGTTGGTGTTTTCTGTGAAAGTGCAACACAAAGTAGAGCATAATCGTGAAGTAAAAGGAACATGGCGCCTGATTTTTTTGTATTTTTATTCTTTTCAAAGAAAAATCTGAGAAGTATTGAGTGCATTCAAATCAATACTTTGTGGAATAACCTTTCACTTGAGTTAAAGCCACAGGTCTTTGGATGTATCCACAAGACTAAGATTTTTGTCCATGTTTCTTTAAAAGAATAGCACTGCAATCAGTTCTAACCTCTCCATGCTCAGGGAATACATCCATGCAATATACCTCCCACAAGTCTGTTGTCTACTTCTTTGCTGTTATCTTTCTTTTGATGATGTAAACTGTGCCCGGTGAAAAAGGTCAGAGTTTGTGATATTGTGATAACCCTCCTTTAAACTTCTCCACAGCTTTCTCCCTGACATGCCCTGTTTGTTTCTTGAGCCTTGTGATGGAAACACGATGTGCATCGCACTTTGCAGACACAGTCAGGCCATTTTTATTTGCCTCAAAAATTTTAGTGAAATACACTGATGTTTGTCATTGCAAAAAGACGAAAATATGGAAAAGGTTAAGAGGTGTGAATACCTTTGCGAGGTAGAGGATTGGTTTTTGGCTCCGGCTACCAGCCACTCCTCATATGATGCTCATCATGACACAAACGCTGCAGAAAGTTTCATGTTGCTTCCTGCAACAGCAAACCAAGGAATCTGCTATGGACCGGAAATTTTCCCTTCTGATTCTTAAGTTTCTTTTGCTACTTATAAAGAGTTTTTGATTTGATGTTTAGAGTTCTTTACCAGACTCGCTGTGTGTTTTGATTTGTTAGCCACACGTTTCAAATCATCACATCAGACACTTTTTTTTTTGTTTTTTTTCCATTCAACCAAAAGTTATTGTTTTTCTTTTTTGTGCTCTGTGAGTCACAGGCCTTTGTTTTCACGTTTAAGGAATGCATGTTTGGCTTCAAGTCATCCGGCAACATTTTCCGGATCTCTTCACGTTAGATTGGAATTTGACTTACAACACTGGCAGATATCCAGCTACTCTTACTAAGACCCGCTCTACTTTCAGTCTGTTCTGCTTTGCGTGTGCCTCTGATTTTAGAAGTTAAACCATCTAGAAATTATTTTATTCTTTTCACAATTTTCTTTGGGATAAGATTGAATGCTTTGTTTCATGCAACAGTCCTTTCTAGTCTTGTTTTTATTGCTTCACAATCTTCCTTCAAATGTCGCGGCTTTGTAAGGATCTGACTCACAACATTGGAGTTAAATGGAGACACAGCTGGGGATTTATTTAAAACACACTGCTTCCTGGTGTGACATCATAAGGGAAAGAAAACAATCAGGAAGAGAATGGTGGACCTCACTGAGTCTGGTTTCGACTTGATTACAATTTCAAGATGGTGCAACGTTCATCTATTCAAACAATCATACTGAAGACACGTGGTGAAAATGTGAGGGCGTCAAAGTACTTAATTGAAGAATACCATGAAATAAAGACAATTGGTCAAAACTCAAGCGAAGAGAAGTTTGTGGAAGAATACCCAAACATCTGCCTTTTTAAAGGATATTTCTACCAAGTACTAAGCAAATATTTCGTCACCTTCCTAAAATATTGACCTAAGTCAAGTTTTGACTACAGAAATTATTTTTGGGAAATAAAAAAAGGAGGTCGCCATCTCTTTTTTTTTTCCCCAAAAAAATGATTTAAGTTAAAAAATAAAAATAAAAATAAAAACTTTTTGGAAAAAATGACTTATTCCATCATTTTAGGAAGGTAAGGATATTCTTTCTCTCACTTGTTCGGCAATTTTGGTTATCCTAGCGAACCTAAAACAGGACAAGTTTGGTCTGCGTTAAAGTCAGACAGTGAGGAAAGTGGCTTTTTCATGCAGTATGCATACATACAAACTGCACATTCATAATATTTCTCTCTCAAATAGGCCCAAAAGAATCGAAACAGCAACCACACGACTACCGACCATTCCCCCGTCGAGCGCCACAATCTGATGCCCGCGGACGAGAACTATCACAACGAGCAGGCCCGGAAGAACCGCAACCGCCTGTCGTCGGGCTCACAGCAGAGCAGGGACCACTCTCCGCTGATGGAGGAGGACTACCAAGACCCCTACCAGGACTCTTACAAGCCTCACCGCAACCGCGGATCCCCAGGAGGCTACAGCCAGGACTCCGCCAAGCACAGGCTGTGAGCCGATAGTCGCCCGCGCCGAACACGATCGCTGAGGCGGCGGTGGCGACCTGATGAGTCTACTTCAGTCATGTGAACTGGAACTATCTCTTATGTCTGTGTAGTACCTCATATCCCCCTTTTGACCTTGGTTGTTGTTGCCAAATGGACATTTATAACCTAATAATAATAATAAAAAGAAGAAACAACTGCCTTTGCTGTGACGTGAATATGAGGGTGGACATGTAGCACAAGAACTATGTTTTAAACGAAGGGTGGAAGTTTAGCTTGTTTTAATGCGTCACACAAGTAGCTTGTAAGTTAAATCAACTAGCAAGTGAAAGAGTGGGGTCTTCTACACTTTCCCTGCCATCTGGCTGCCCCTGTAGCATGTAGGTGGGGGGGCTGCGAAGCCGGTGCCAGACAGCAACTCGGCTGCAACTCAGCAACTGAGTGCTTGTTTGAACGTATCTTAAGACATGAGGAAAGCAAAAATATGCCATTAATAATACGTTTGTGTGCTAACGTTTTCGACTTGTTCAAAAAAATTCTTGTCTTTTGCTAATTGTTTACAACATTACATATATTTTCCTCTTCGAAGTTCATCCAGTAGCTTCCCGAATCCCCTTCTTTACTTTCCCTGAACTCCCATTTTTGTTCAATCGGTCGTATGCAAAGTTGCGCAAATACAGAGATGTTTAAAGCTCCAAACCTCAGGAATGAGGGGTCACCAAGACCCGGAAGTGTAGCGTTTTGTTATCTTACCCGTCTGGATAATTATGGGTGTATTATTTTAATATACAGTGTCTTTCAAGAGTATTCACAGCTGAAGTTTTAATTGGGATGAAACACGGTGGTGGCGGCATATACCACCTCTTGCATTATGAGTGGTCCTGTCTAGACAGGACCACTCATAATGTAATGTGAGATTACATTATTTCTATGTAATCTCACTGAGCTTCAATAGGCAAAAATGTCAGCCTCCTGATCTGGATCTCCTGATTGAAGCTGCAATCAAAACAAAATGTAAGCGCATGTATCATTCTCCTTTCATTCCAAATGATCTGGTACTTTATGTTGGTTTGTTTACCACATAACACCTTAAATCTAATACATTAAGGAGTGAGGTGGTAACACGAATGCTTTTGTAAGGCACTGTAGCTGTAGTGGAATGCTATGATGTGCATTTAGTTTGTTTTTGTTTTTTGTCTGAGTTTAGCAAGGCATTATTATGAAAATACAAGAGTGGATTTTAGTTTGTGATATATTGAGGGCTTCCATGTGTAAATATTGTCAAAAATGACAGAAGAGAAACCTAAAAATTCTACTTTTGGTAAATCTGATTACATTCCATTGGTTTAATTCAAGGTAATGCATATAATTCAGATCAATATTTCTTTTTAAAAGGTTTTATAATAACTGTAAAATGTTCACCGGGCAGAAGCTGATCCTGACCGTCGTCTTTGTTTTCAGGTGTAACTTTTTACATTATTTTAACGTCCGTTAGAAATCCTTGGATAAAAATGGAAAACTACAGAACAAAGGAAGGATTTTTCTATACCCATCAAAGCTTTTGCTAGCCAATACTAACAGTTACATGTAACTATCTTTAACCAAACAGGAAAAAAAAGTTCCCTGTTTCCTGTTTGATAGAGGTGGTAGACTTGAATTCAATATAATATGAACTACGTGCTAGTCTTTATCTGATTTTTTACCAAACAAAAAGCAAATTATAAGAACATGCTATTTATTGATGTGTTTACAACTTGAAAAATGACTGGTTTCAAGTTTTTATGTGCCTAACGAATGAAGAAAAAATTTGTTTTTCAGTACCTGATCTGCTGATTACCATTTATAACCAATTTAGGGGAAAATCAGAGGATTGTGATCAACCACTTTCATGTCTTTCCGAATTTCACTTCTGTTGCAGGCTGTTTCATGCTAAATGTAATGGATTTTCCGTTTTTTTTTTTCTTACTTATTTATTTAAATGTACACTGCCAATAAACACAGGAAAAATAGAGCATAATCTTACAATGATATACTCTTGAGCCTTGTATTATAACATGCAGCGGTTATTTTCATTCTATGGGTCATAAATGAGTAAAATCTTTTGTTTTTGTTTTTTCCAAATAGTATAGTTTTAGCACCAACATAAAAATATGAAAACTGGTTGTGAGAGAGTGATAAACTAATTAGAATGTATGTGTGCATCGTCCTTTTACAACTGTATTGAAATAAACTGCACTGTTGTATGGATGGTGGTTTTATCCTTATTATATTATATTATATTATATTATATTATATTGCAACTGAGTGATAGTGCGCATGCGCCAACTTGACAGCTCAGCGCACTTTACAACAGAACAGCCAGCTGATATCAACCACTTAGCCATACTGGTTACCACTTTCGTCTTGGTTCTCTCGTTCTTAGCCGTCATATTTCCATATCATGTCTTCTGGAAAGGGACTTCTCAAGTAATATTAGGCGATACCACCATGGAGGTTGTAGTTAAACACTTTTACAGCTATTTGTCGGTGTAGTTACCAGGCTAGCTAGCTAGGTCAAGTTGATAGCAATACATATCATCAATGCTAGCTAGCTAAGTGGTAGCCGATATTTCCAAAGCTGGCATCGAACAAACTTCACCGTTAGCCATGGGGATACTATTTACGAAGCTATGGAGGCTTTTCAATCACCAAGGTAAGAGTGCTCGGTTGGTAGAGGATGTGAAATTGTGGGAAGTCGTGGAAGCTAATTGGCCTCTTTGGTCGCAGAAGGCCCACTGGTCTGTTCCCTCACAGCAGCCAAGAAGCCAGCTTTATGTGCATGACAGTGTAGAAATGTTTCTTGTCATGACGATAAAAGTGTCCGTGTGGGGGGGAAATCGCCCTCATTTAAATCCACTGTTTTGCTTTCATTTGTCGAAGAGCACTGTTTCCTAACTAGCTCGGTGTTGATTAGCTGTGTGCTGTATTATTTATGCTCCCAGCTTTTGGGAGCGGAGGTAAGTGAAACCACGTCTTGAGAGCTTGAATCGGTAAACAGGTCTTTTCGACACCCCCTGTAACGTGAATCCCGTTGAGTTTGAACCGATGCCAGCGGCATTATGAGCGGAGAGGAGGGGGTACACAAACAGAGCACTCCACAGTGCACGGCAGATGATTACCGGGGCAAGTAAAGATCAATGGGTGAATCACATTGACTTTGCTCTGCCACTGTTGGCTCGTCACCTTATCAGAAGTATGTTATTATAATACAGATTACTATTTATCTATTGATTTGGACCCTCACCCTCGTGCCATTTTAAACTGTCAGCTATTCTCATTACATGTCTTCAGAAGCTAACTCTGTTTAATGCGTCTGGTGCATTATTTAATGAAAACTAAAATGCTGTTGCTTGATAATCCCTTTGCTTTTCTGTATTTTATGTAGATCAGTTCCTGCCATAGGGTTTATTTAAATCTTTTGTTGTTCAGTTTGTATTGCCAAGCAGCCCTGAAATGTTCCAGTGTGCTCTACAATGACTGCTTTAGTACCAGATATGATGTTTAAAGGGACAGAAGATAATTTAGACTAAGCTTAATAAAAACAAGCATCCCGATGAGAATCTTGGTAAAAATGTGTCTTAACAGTGTATTAACAATGCTTGTGACGTTTGCCACATAGCATTTGGTTAGTTTGTACAATCAAAGATTTGAATCAGTAAAAAAAAAAAAAAAAAAAAAAAAAAAAAACCCTTTTGGGGGGGGTTTTTTTTTTTTTTTTAAAATAAAAAAATTTTTTAAATTTTTGGGGG